AAGTACTATGAAAAAAAAAGTTTTACCACATGAAATATAAAGTTTAATGCACACAAACTGAAGGAGACATGCATAGTTAGTAGTACTCTACTAACAATAGAATACGTGACACTTACCTTTAATGAAGATCTGGTGATGATTCATGGGATGGGATGAGGGGAGAGTGTCGAACTTATTGTTTAGAAGGGGAATCCCCTTCCATTAAGACTTGAGGTAGCAAGTCCTTTTCCATTGTTACTTCCCTTCTTCTTTTAATGCCACTAGGACCAGCTTGAGAGTCACTGGACCTCTGTTGCACAACAAATCTGTCCATAGAGCTCTACCTCCCATTCCTTTACGGTTTGTCTAAAATGGGCTACAACATTGTCATTGTAATAGTCACCAACTTGGCTTGCAATAGCTGTGTTAGGGTGATTTTTCATCCATAAAAGCTTGCAGTTCAACCCACTTTGCACACATTTCCTTAATTTTTGAAGCTGGCACAATGGATTCCACAACTGGCATAGGCTTCTCAGGGTTAGCCCCAAACCCTTCAAAATCTTTCTTAATTTCCATACTAATTCTCACCCTTTTTACCACAGGGTTGGCACTAGAAGCTTTCTTGGGGCCCATGGTGACTTACTTTGCAGAAACAAACACCAAAAACACTGTGATAATATGGAATGCACCAAATGTATGCTTAGATGCGAGCACACTGGCTGGCTTGTAAACACTGGCACTCACGTGGACGCGTCCCGGACGAATCACGTGTGGCGGGTTTTTTAACGAGTGGCGAAGCAAAATTTTGGCATTAAAATGTATCAAATACCAAATTTAACGCATACTGATGCCATCGAATACTGGGGGTCCACTGTATTTGAGAGTTGACGTGTCAGCGGATGGATTTATGAAGGATGAGGTTAATAATAGAATTGATGAAGGAAAAAAGGTGAGTGGTGCGTTGAGGTATATGTGGAGACAAAAAACGTTATCTATGGAGGCAAAGAAGAGAATGTATGAAAATATAGTGGTACTAACACTCTTATATGGGTGTGAAGCTTGGGTTGTAAATGCTGTAGTGAGGAGACGGTAGGAGGCAGTGGAGATGTCCTGTCTAAGGGCAATGTGTGGTGTAAATATATTGCAGAAAATTTCAGAGTGTGGAAATTAGGAGAAGGTGTGGAGTTAATAAAAGTTTTAGTCACAGGGCTGAAGAGGGGGTTTGGTTATTTAGAGAGAATGCATCAAAGTAGAATGAAATGGAGAGCGTATAAATCTGTAGGGGAAGGAAGGCGGGGTAGGGGTCGTCCTCGAAAAGGCTGGAGGGAGGGGGTAAAGGAGGTTTTGTGGGTGAGGGGCTTGGACTTCCAGCAAGCGTGCATGAGCATGTTAGATATGAGTGAATGGAGACGAATGGTATTTGGGACCTGACGAGTTGTTGGAGTGTGAGCAGGGTAATATTTAGTGAAGGGATTCAAGGAAACCGGTTATTTTTATATAGCCGGACTTGCGTCATGGAAATGGGAAGTACAATGCCTGCACTTTAAAGGAGGGGTTTGGGATATTGGCAGTTTGGAGGGATATGTTGTTGTATCTTTATATGTATATGCTTCTAAACTGTTGTATTCTGAGCACCTCTGCAAAAACAGTGATTATGTGTGAGTGAAGTGAAAGTGTTGAATGATGATGAAACTATTTTCTTTTTGGGGATTTTCTTTCTTTTTTGGGTCACCCTGCTTCAGTGGGAGACGGCCGACTTGTTATAAAAAAATAATGAAGTGAGTTTGAATGTTATATAACATTTTTAACATAATTTAAATAGCTCACGTACATTTTGGCATGAAACTAATACACAGCTTCTATAACTCACTTCCGCAACAATAAGTTACTGCACAGAATTGTATTTATCATATTGTTAATGGTAACCCTAAATTATTATTTTTATGTTTAGGGGAGGAAAGGTAAAACTCAACGGGTCTTATAGCACTTAGGGAATGGGAAGTCATCAGGTTTGATCTGAGGAAGAGTAAAGAGCCTTTCACTATCAAGACATATTCCCTTAAGAAAAATGCTTTCAAAATAAAATACTAGTAGGTGCATGTATCAGAAATTAGAATTTCTTAGCTAGAAAAAAATCAATAAAATTTAAAATATAAAATTTTATTGATATTTTTTATGAAAATCCTGTTCACCTCACTTAAACCAAAAGAAAATGAGAACTCGAGTCCCAGAGATGGGACATGCAGTGCCAGCGCTTTAAAGGAGGGATTTGGGATATTTCCTGCTTGGAGGGACCTCTAAACTGTCGTATCTGCATGTCTTTGGCAAGACAGTGATGGTGTGAATGATGGTGCAAGTGTTTCTTTTTTTTTTGGGTCTCCCTGCCTTGGTCGGAGACGACCAGTGCATTAACCCATAAACGGTCCAAGCAGATCTACGTTCACATGTGTAGTGCTACAAAAGTAGATCTAAGTTTTTTTTACATATTTTCAAATATAACAAAAAAAAAAAGTAGATCAAAGTTTTTTTACACATTTTCAAATGTAGAAAAACAAAAAGAAGATCTACTTTTTTTACATACTTTCAAATATTGAAAAAACGTATGTATATACGTTTGGACTGTTTACGGGTTAAAAAAAAAAAAACTTCAAGGCCATTGCTTTGATAATGAAGGGCTCTTGATCCAAGGAACTTAAGCTACCCTTTTCTTCTTCAAATCAAACCTTTCCCATAAATATAACAAGAGATATATTCAACTTCTACAATATTTTTGTCGTAATGTTGTGCATCACAAGACAAATTATACTACTGTACTTTACTCTACTTGTAGTCTAATACCTAATCAAATAATAGATATAATTTAAATGATGGCTTTTATTTATATTATTTCCTGACCATGAGTAAGTCAGACTGCTTTACATTAATTATTATTCACAGCATGCAAGCATTAAAATAAAAAAAAACTGGCAATTCTAAACAGCCTTTTTAAACAAAGATTATATTTTGAAATGGCTCTCATACAATATGAAATAAAGGTTTACCAAAAAAGTATGTATTATGTGTTGCTTCTTCTACCTCTCTCTCCATAATTTATATATGAATAATCTTTAGAGAACTTAATATCAGTATATTTTCATGATTAAATAAAGAACTAAAATTAAATTTTCAAAACATTAATAAATCGTGTATGTTAATTTGGACTTACGAAATATTTGCATTTCCTGCAACTCACATTACAAAAAAATTATTATAATAAATGATGTTTTATTCAACAAAATATTTAGTGAATATATACATTAAGAGAACATGAGAAACATGAGTTTTATTTTTTGAGAGCTAATAGGGTCACTGTAACTCACCATAAGTGCAACTCCTAAGTAAAAACAAAGATATTATGAACATTCTTCTTAGATTCACCGGTACTATCCTGGCCCGGGCCTTTTCCAGATGGTGACCCGGCGATTATGCAAACAGAAAAGCATTCCTTTTTAAATTTTTTAATTCATAACCAAATTTATCTTAATAAAATATTAAACTGAGGTACTGATTTTCTTTATTTTATCATACTGCAGTATTTTTCAACAATGAATGTTAAAATACCTAAAAAAATAAAGCATAAGTATTTCTTTGATTGCATTCATGCATGTGGTACCTTACAAATCATTTAAAATAGATTTCTGAACATCAAAAGTTTGCTGGCATAAAAACTAGCTGCTATAAAATACAATTAAGAAACTCAGCACTGAATCCCATAAAGAAAATCTATTTCCCCTGTTAAAATATAAAATACCACCAATAATTTATTCTTAAATTTGCCATAATGTACTGTACCATGAATTTGACCATTCTCAATAAAATTATTTACCTGCATGACTACAGAAAAATAGACCAACCTTTTTCTCAGATTTGCCAGTAAGGTTCTGGACTAGATGAGGATGTCTGAGATGAACAACCAAAAATAACAGCTTTAATTAGTCCATCCCGTGATCTGTTTTGTTCAAAAGTAAATGTTAAATAATCAATAGTAACATAGTTAGCAGTAACATACATTGGATATCTCCCAACCTTATTTAACACAACTGTAATTTTATAAGTTTTATTAGGTGTAATGTATACCGGCCTATTGAAGATAACTTCCATCGAACTATTCCATGATACCCGAGCCGTGAAATGCGTGTATGTGAGGCGGCAATCATCAGAGTCTTGTAAAAATGCATAAATTAGTTCAGAATAGGATTGCTGTATTGGTCGAGTGGCTAACTGTGGCTCCAAGTTTACTGGGACTAACTGAGTAGGCATCTCCACACCATATATACAGACATGTCTATTAACAGAAAATGAGAGTGAACAGTCCACCAATTGCTCATTAACCAACTCTTGTGCCATGTCATTTCCAACACATTCACATCGAAGTTGAACATCTTCCCTAATCCTGCTGCTTCTTAAGTCAGGATGTGGTAAGAAGCTGGGTGGAGGTGTTGGTTCTTTTTGTCTCTTCTTGTTATTTTGACAGAAGGGTGAGGGGACAGATGTTACTCCTGGTGCAGAAATATTCATCAAGAGAATATAGCTCTCCTCCTGTGTAAAAATACCTGACACTGCTGGACTATTGGCAAATTCTGTTGGGCTTAGGGTTAAAAATCTGTAAAAAAACAAAATGCAGATTGTTTATATACTCCACTTGTATAATATAAAATATATAATAGTTGTTTCACATCAAGATTTTCCAAGGTGAAGTTCCTGTCACAAAGCAAATATTCACATGAACTAGGTCCTCAGCAAGGAAATTAATCTTTTCATGGGTTTTATGTCATTACCAAACACAGTGAGCTGGATATTTGTTAACTATTCAGATATAAGCCAGTAAAAATGTAATTACATTAAATAAACTAGCTTAAAATATCAATGATGCATATTGACTGAGAATCAAACTTAAATCTATCTAGTTGCTAAGCCAGTATGATAACCCCTCATGTGCAACCTTTGCATATAGTACAGGTACACCACTGATATTCCGGCACAGGGGGGTTCCAGAGCCTTGCTGGAAAACAAAGAGAGGTCACATAATAATAATTCAACATTACACCTCTGACACAATGATTATCCACCTTTCTTTACCCAATGCATCTGTACTGTGTGTATGCTCATTTTATGATGTATAAAGAGCTCACATTTGTTTGGTAGAGAGTGGCTAAGAAAATCAGAATTACTGTAATGTTTAGGTTGTAATTAAAGTTGAATTATTAACATTATTGTTTGCTCAGTTAGTTTTTAACCAAATACATTCATACTTTGTGTATGACCACTCTGAATATGCATAGAGAGCTCATATTTGTTTGGTGCTGATTGGTCTTGACCAATCAAAAATCTAATACGTAGTTGAAAACCTCGAGTGAAGAGCAACACATCCTCCAAGCAAAGTGTCTGGCTAAATAGTCAGTTGTGCTCATGTGACTTGACTGGCCATGCACACCACCCTCCAACACTCACTCCACCATCACCCCTTTTAAGACCTTTTCATCACCCTGTCTTTTCTCTGGATATTAGCCATGACACACAAAGGAATATTAATAATGATGAAGGTACTAAGAGGAATAAACATGAAAGTCTAAGTGCTTTTAAAAGAAAAATGAAAAAACTGTGGTGAAATTATAACACAGTGGAACCTCAGTACTTAAACTTAATTCATTTCAGAAGGCTCATCGAGTGCCGATCTGTTTTAGTACGGAACGAATTTTTCCCAACCAATTCTCTTTTTGGTTGGCTGTTATCACTAATCTTCAGAGGCCCCATGGTAACTTATTTATACAAATACTAACTAGTCAGTATCTGACACTGTATCAGATATGCACACTTTCTCTGGAAGAAACACCCTGCCCATTTTCTATGGAAGCAATGAAGCATCAAACACGCACTTCCTAAGGTAAGTTTTTTTTAGTGCCCTCTTGTAATTTTATCTAGACTAACAGAAGTCCCAGACCATCCACTGCCAGAAAAACCAGTGTAGTACTTGTAATACAGTGTTATGTAGATAGAAGCAGTTGTGGCTAATGAGTGTAATTGCAGTTTCTTGCTAGACAAGAGTTGCAGTGAAGCGTTAAGGTATGTCTGCCTTGACTTAGCAAAAGATCTGAAGATTCTTGTGTTTAGGAGGCTGGGGTACTATAACACCATAACAAATGATGTACATATAAATACTGAAATAACTATACTCTATATTTAAAAATTGTTGTATAAAATAAAATGTTTTGTATATTATTATGTGAAATAAGAGCTAAATAAAATTTAAAAAGAAGAAAAACAAGTGTAAAAATACATCAGTTTAATTTAACGGAGATACTCTTGTTTTCTGTGGCATTGTGGGTTTTGTATAGTGGACCCTCGACATTCGATACTAATCCGTTCCCCAAAAGAAATAATGGAAATCAAATTAATCCGTGCAAGACACCCAAAAGTATGAAAAAAAAAAATTACCACATGAAATATTAAGTTTAATGCAATAGAATAATTACAATAACAATAGATTAATAACAATAGAATGATTGACACTTACCTTTAATGAAGATCTGGTGATTGATGGGATGGGAGGAGGGGAGAGTGTGGATGGTGTTAGTGTTTAGAAGGGGAATCCCCTTCCATTAGGACTTGAACTGGCAGCCTCACCATGCCTTACCACACTGTGTATGCCACTACGATTCTTAAATCTTTCAAACCAACCTTTGCTGGCCTTAACTTCACTCACATCACCACTAGTTGTAGGCAATTTCTTTACCAAATCATCATGCACTCCAACACACGCACTCCACTTTCGTACTTTGCAATTATCTCTTTCTTCATTTCAATAGTCATTAGCACCTTTTTTCTCGAAGGGTTGGCACTAGAAGCTTTCTTGGGTCCCATGGTTACTTATTTTGCAGAAACATGAACCAAAAACAGTGATAATATGGATAATATGGAATGTACCGAATGTATCCTTAGATGAGCGCACACTGGCTGGCTTGTAAACACTGGCACACATGGGGCAGTTCAGGCCACACATGGACACGTCTCGTATGAATCGTATCGAATGTCGGGTTTTCCATCGAATGTTGAGGTGAAATTTTTGTGTTAAAATGCATCGAATGTCGGATTTATCGAATGTCGATGCCTTTGAATGTCGGGGGTCCACTGTATTTTACAATAACCATGAGTTAAAAGATAAAATGCCTATTTCCTATGAATGTCCTACTGCAACAGAGAACTAAGTGAAATACTGGATGGGTCCAGCTTTCTAAAGGAGCAATAAAAAAAAAAAGATGTTTACATGCAAAAATCACTTAAGTAGTAGTAATGGAGCATTAAAATCAAGCAAATGTTACTAGTTTGAAGTAAGAAATAAAAAAAATGTGAAAAAAAAGTATTATCCTCAAAAATAGTGAAGAAAGGGAAGAAACTAGGAATGACTACCAAGTCTAAATAAAGTGTAAATGTATCCAAAGATAGGACCCATCAACTGGAAAAAAAAAACAGGTACTACTCCACTGTCCTCATGTCTGTGTTTACCTGGGTGAGTAACTTATCAACTCTAACTACAACAGCAGTAAATGACAAAACAACTTTCAGAGAATCTTGTAAATAATGAAGAAAGAAGTGAATGGTGTTAATCTTCAAGCTACTGATATTTATATCACCAAACAAAAATTAACTTTTATGTTTCAACTTGGCAAAGGACTCTGTTAAAAAAAATTAATTTCTGATTTTGAAATATGGCAGTGAGCAACTCATTTAAGTAGTAAGAAAAACACATCTACTGCAAATCAAGACCACAGACTAGATCCTATGTGAATGTTAAAAAGTACAAAAGACAAATATGAATATATTAAACACTACTGTAATACTCTCAAGCAAACATGGTTATGATATAATATCCCCTCAAGGGTGGTGCTTTTATGCTGATGAGAGGGCTCTTGATACAAGGAACTGGATTTATCCTCACCTTCTTGGACTGAACTTGAATACCTCCCCTATATGTTTACTGCTATCCCTTATTAAGAAAATAAATTGATACAAAAATTTATAACCCATTTTTCAATTAAGGAAACAATTCTGGAAAATTTCTAAATACTGTGTGAAGGAATCTAGAAAGTTATGATGTAATGTTTAAATAAAACCCTGTATGTGCTGTGAGAGGTATGGATATGAAGCACAGGCTTTGAAGAGGCTGGAGGAAGAAAAAATGGCATCTGTGAGGGTAATATGTGGTGTGAATATTATACACAAATAACCCGCACATAGAAGAGAGGAGCTTATGACGACATTTCGGTCTGACTTGGACCATCCACAAAGTCACACTAACAAGAAGGAGAGCAGGAAGGGGGGGGGACGGCAGCAGCAGCAGCCACCGCCGCCGCCAGTAAAATACAGTGGACCCCGCCTTACGACATTAATCTGTTCCTGAGAGCTCATCGTAAGCCGAAATTATCGTAAGGCGAATTAATTTTCCCCATAAGAAATAATGGAAATCAAATTAATCCGTGCAAGACACCCCAAAGTATGAAAAAAAAAAAAATTTTACCACATGAAATATTAATTTTAATACACACAAACTGAAGACGACATGCACAGTTACTACTCTGCTAAGAATAGAATACATGACACTTACCTTTATTGAAGATCTGGTTATGATTGATGGAATGGGAGGAGGGGAGAGTGTGGAAGTTATTGTTTAGAAGGGGAATTCCCTTCCATTAGGACTTGAGGTAGCAAGTCCTTTTCCAGCGTTACTTCCCTTCTTCTTTTAATGCCACTAGGACCAGCTTGAGAGTCACTGGACCTGTCGCACAACAAATCTGTCCATAGAGCTCTGTACCTCCAGTTCTTTTAAGATTTGCCTAAAATGGGCCACAACATTGTCACTGTAATATTCACCAGCACGGCTTGCAAAAAGCTGTGTTAGGGTGATTTTTATCCATAAAGGTTTGCACTTCAACCCACTTTGCACACATTTCCTTAATCTTTGAAGTAGGCACAATGGATTCCACAACTGGCATAGGCTTCTCAGGGTTAGCCCCAAACTCTTCAAAATCTTTCTTAATTTCCATACTAATTCTCACCCTTTTTACCACAGGGTTAGTTTCTTGGGGCCCATGGTGACTTATTTTGCAGTTACAAGCACAAAAAACACTGGGATAAGGTGAAAGGTACCGAATGTATGTGTGGATGCGACTGCACTGGTTGGCTTGTAAACACTGGCACCCACGGGGCAGCTGAGGCCACACGTGGGATGCGTTCCGGACGAATCACGTAAGGCGACACAAAATTTTTGCATTCAAATGCTTCGTATGGCGGATTTAACGTAACGTGATGCATTCGTAAGGCGGGGGTCCACTGTACTAAGAAAGAGGAGCACTGCAAGGGAGCTAAGTGCCCACAGAGGGTAAGAGCAAGAACACAGAGGGGGGGGGGGAAATAATAAAAAATAAATAATGAAGGAACAAAAACACAAGGCAGAAGAAAGAAAACCCAGAGGAGAAAAAGGAAAGAGGAAAGGAGAAGAATAAAAAGGAGGAATCAGGTTAGGTCACGGAGCTTACGACCGAAAAGTTGTCATAAGCTCCTCTCTTCTATATGCGGGTTATTTGTGTATCGTTCCAGTCACGGTATTGTGCCTTTTTTTTTTTTGTTATTTGTGTGAATATTATGTAGATAACTCACAGCAATTGAAACCGGAAGATTGCTGGGTTACCAAAAGTATAATTCAGAGGGCTGAGGAGAGGTTGGACATTTAGATAGGATGGAGCAGAATAGGATGACTAAGAGGGAATATAAATCTGGGATGGAAAGAAAGAAGATATACCAGAAAGGGTTGGAAGGAGGTAAAAGAGGGTTTTGAGTGCTAGGGGCATAAACATTCAACAGGCTTCTGTAAATGTGTTAGATCAGAGTGGACATAAGTGGTTTTCATGACCTAATATGCTGTTGAGGTGTGAGCAAGGTAACATTTATTAAGGGATTCAGGGTAACCAGCTAGCCAGATTTCAGTCCTGGAGATGGGAAGTACAGTGCCTGCACTCTAAAGGAGATGTGAGGATGTTGCAGTTTGGAGGGCCATCTGAACTGTGATGTTTGCAACTGAATGAATGATGGTGAATGTTTCCTCTTTCTTGGGGTCATCCTGCCTCAGTGGGAGACAGCTGATGTGTTTAACCCTTAAACTGTCCAAACGTAGATCTACATTTCCTCGTGTAGCCGCTCCGAACATAGATCTACGTTTTTTTGCGTGCTTTCTTATGGAGAAAATCAAGGTCGGAGTGCTACACGCAAAAACATAGATCTACGTTTGGACAGTTGAAGGGTTAAAAAACAAAAGAAGGGTTGTGTAAGAAAGGATTATATACTTAACTGCATTAAGGGCAGTGTAATATTGTGCAGCTTTACTTCCAAACATAAACTATTATTAGCATGTACAGATATTGATAAAGCATACAAAAAATTATCTAAAATAAATTTCATTTCAATTGAAAAAATATTTACATACCTGATCATGCTAAGACAGTCTCCTAGTACTTTACGCTGATTAATGGGACTGACTTCCAAGGATTGTCGGACACATTCCTGCTTTGCCCAATTCAGGCAAGACTCCCACAATTCCAACTCTGACACTAAAATATACAAAGCGAAAATATATATTATGCAAGAACCTTCAGTTACATTAACGCACTAACCTTATATGTTCATTTAAATTCATTTCATGTTAGGTAAATGGACACAAATGCAACTAATGTGACATTTTATTGTGGCAATGTTTCACTCTCCAGGAGCTTTATCAAACATTGCCACAATAAAATGTCACATTAGTTGCAAATGTGTCTATTTACCTAACATTTTGTTGGTATATCTTCCATTATTCCTAAATATACCTGATGCTTGGTTTCCCTTGAAAATGGCAATTTCCTCAATGGTAAAAATTCATCTGGCATTAACAACCTAGTCATTCAAGCTGATAAAAATAAAAAAAATAAAACATTGAACTAATGAAGAAACTCAAAAGTAATTTAATACTGTACTGTATTTTGACAGGGTGGATAGGGGGGCAATGTGGCAAATGTTGCAGGTGTATGGTGTAGGAGGTAGGTTACTGAAAGCAGTGAAGAGTTTTTACGAGGATAGTGAGGCTCAAGTTAGAGTATGTAGGAAAGAGGGAAATTATTTCCCAGTAAAAGTAGGCCTTAGACAAGGATGTGTGATGTCACCGTGGTTGTTTAATATATTTACAGATGGGGTTGTAAGAGAAGTAAATGCGAGGGTCTTGGCAAGAGGCGTGGAGTTAAAAGATAAAGAATCACACATAAAGTGGGAGTTGTCACAGTTGCTCTTTGCTGATGACACTGTGCTCTTGGGAGATTCTGAAGAGAAGTTGCAGAGATTGGTGGATGAATTTGGTAGGGTGTGCAAAAGAAGAAAATTGAAAGTGAATACAGGAAAGAGTAAGGTTATGAGGATAACAAAAAGATTAGGTGATGAAAGATTGGATATCAGATTGGAGGGAGAGAGTATGGAGGAGGTGAATGTATTCAGATATTTGGGAGTGGATGTGTCAGCGGATGGGTCTATGAAAGATGAGGTGAATCATAGAATTGATGAGGGGAAAAGGGTGAGTGGTGCACTTAGGAGTCTGTGGAGACAAAGAACTTTGTCCTTGGAGGCAAAGAGGGGAATGGATGAGAGTATAGTTTTACCAACGCTCTTATATGGGTGTGAAGCATGGGTGATGAATGTTGCAGCGAGGAGAAGGCTGGAGGCAGTGGAGATGTCATGTCTGAGAGCAATGTGTGGTGTGAATATAATGCAGAGAATTCGTAGTTTGGAAGTTAGGAGGAGGTGCGGGATTACCAAAACTGTTGTCCAGAGGGCTGAGGAAGGGTTGTTGAGGTGGTTCGGACATGTGGAGAGAATGGAGCAAAACAGAATAACTTCAAGAGTGTATCAGTCTGTAGTGGAAGGAAGGCGGGGTAGGGGTCGGCCTAGGAAAGGTTGGAGGGAGGGGGTAAAGGAGGTTTTGTGTGCGAGGGGCTTGGACTTCCAGCAGGCATGCGTGAGCGTGTTTGATAGGAGTGAATGGAGACAAATGGTTTTTAATACTTGACGTGCTGTTGGAGTGTGAGCAAAGTAACATTTATGAAGGGGTTCAGGGAAACCGGCAGGCCGGACTTGAGTCCTGGAGATGGGAAGTACAGTGCCTGCACTCTGAAGAAGGGGTGTTAATGTTGCAGTTTAAAAACTGTAGTGTAGAGCACCCTTCTGGCAAGACAGTGATGGAGTGAATGATGGTGAAAGTTTTTCTTTTTCGGGCCACCCTGCCTTGGTGGGAATCGGCCAGTGTGATAATAAAAATATATAAAAATAATATTTTGATTTTATATACAATAGGGCCTCGCTTTACGGCGTTTCGCCTTACAGTGTTCCGCTAATACGGCGATGTCAAATTATGACCAAAATTTGCTATATGGCAAGCGGTCTTTCAAATACGGCACGCCGCACCCGGTTTGTTAACATTCTCTGTGACCACATCTATTATGTCTGGAAACTTTCAAAAATTTCAAGTGTTTTACATTATTGCGTATTTTATATGTTTTTTTTTTCAACACACTGGCCGTATCCCACCGAGGCAGGGTGGCCCAAAAAGAAAAACAAAAGTTTCTCTTTTTAAAGTTAGTAATCTATACAGGAGAAGGGGTTACTAGCCCCTTGCTCCCGGCATTTTAGTCGCCTCTTACAACACGCATGGCTTATGGAGGAAGAATTTTGTTCCACTTCCTCATGGAGATAAGAGAAAATAAACAAGAATAAGAACTAGAAACAAATTAGAAGAAAGCCCAGAGGGGTGTGTGTATATATAGGCTTGTACATGTATGTGTAGTGTGACCTAAGTGTAAGTAGAAGTAGCAAGACGTACCTGAAATCTTGCATGTTCATGAGACAGAGAAAAGGGCACCAGCAATCCTACCATCATGTAAAACAATTACAGGCTTTCGTTTTACACTCACTTGGCAGGACAGTAGTACCTCTCTGGGCGGTTGCTGTCTACCAACCTACTACCTAGGTATTTTATATGTACACTGATAATTATATGTATGTGTACCTGTATCTAAATATACCTACACACTGTGCTGGTGTGCAAGTACACATTAAAATCGCTAAGTTTCTCTGCTTCATGACACCAATAGTACATAATAATCATCACTCTTGGGCACATTAAATGTCTTATTTTACATTAATATAGACATTTTCATTAATCCATCTATGATATTTTCCTCAAATTTATGTAAGAAACGCTTTACATAGCATATAAACATAATACATTCACAGGATAAAAATTTACGTATGAGATTTGTTTACAAAGCGACTGTGTAGGTAGTATCGGAAGAATTACGTTTTCTCTAGTCAAACACTGGGGGATAACTGTAGAAAAATATTCCTTTTGTATGCCTTCACTTTATATTATAGCAATTCACGACCCTTGTGGGTTTAGCCCCTTTTTATTATTATGATGACAATATCATCATCATCTTCATTCATCTAAAAACGGCATGTTGCACGAGAATGGGAGTGTTGCTGTTTGTTTATTCTGTACTAACTTGTACAACTTGTACACAGTGTAAGAGTATTTGTATTGTTAGGTAATTATTATTATAATAAAAAAATGTTGTGAGGTAAAAGCTTTACAAACTCTTACAAACGTACATGAATGAACTAAAAGTAGACACACATTAATACACATTTATTTCGCCTGACAAAGTGATCGCCCACTACCCGTTCAGTTTGTGTTCTTACATTGTCTCAACTCTGTATCTCGTTCTCTCTCTCGTTTACTCTTTCGTTAACTAGTTGGCTCTTACTGACGATGGCGTCTAAGCTTAGCTATGATAAGAAGAGGAGTCGTAAGCCTCTTGCTTTAAGTACCAAGTTAGAGGACGATGGTGTGTCATTCTGATTTTATTCAATAAACACCCTGCCACTCACCTCTCACACATTAATATTAATATTTTAAGGTAAGTAATAAGTGTACTCTGTGTGTATCTTGCCTTTTATTGTGTTTTTAATGCCTATTTCTATTGCTAATTTAATATAAGTTAGTGTAAACTTGTTGTCTGGCATTTATTGCATATTTAATATGTGCTCTGATAATAATACTTGTGAACCTGTGTGGCAGCCGGGTGGAGGGACAACATTACGTTTTCTCTGGTCAGGCACCAGATTAAACGCGTATGAATCTGCGTTTGGCCTCGCCACTCCCCCACTCCGCTTTTGTTTACAATTTTTGGCATGAATTATTCATTACTTCTCCCTTCGTTTATGATGGCATCTAAAGGTAGTTGTTAGAACAGGTTAAATTCAGTGAACAATAATATGGCTTTGGGCCACAATGTAGGTAGCTGGTAGATGTAGCCCAGGCGGGCTACACCTACCAGCTACACCTACCGGCTACCTACACTGACTTCCTACATTAAGACTACACATATTCTAAGGTAAATAATGAGTGTATTGTATGTGTATTTTAACTCTCTGGGCTGTTTTAAATATCATTTATTAAGTATGAGATGGGGAGCCAGGGCTACCTACACCTGACTTCCTACAAATAAGTACATATTACTCACCTCTCACCCTACATAAAGATTACAAATACTTTAAGTAATGAATGTACTGTGTATTTTACTTTTTGTGTTTTTAATGCCTAGTTCTATTACTAACTTAATATAATTTAGTGTAAACTTGTTGTCTGGCATTTATATGCATTTATAAATGTAAAAAATGGCATTCTCCTTTCCAGCGGTGTCTGCTTTCCGGCAATAGCCTGGAATCTAACTCGCCATAAAAGTGGGGCCCTACTGTATTATAGAGTATTTAAATTCTAGGTACATTTGAAAATAAATTAAAATTTAAAGGTGAGAGAGAGCCTTCCTCCACAGAAAAAACACTAACTGAAATGGCACTATAACCTCTAAAGCATAGAGCAAGCACTCTATTTTGCCCTAAGAAGTCATGGAGGAATTGTTCCTGCACTGAGATTTCATCACTGTGACAATATCAGAATAAGTTTAAGCACTAAGGAGAATCATACTGTCAGCACAGGCTGACAATAAACCATTACAGTATATGTATACCTGAGGGTGGTATAAACCTTGGTAATAAATACCGACAAGTTGGTTTAGAAAGACACATAAGCAAACACTATGACATTTATTAGAAAACATTTTGGTCCTGGGACCTTGTTCACTTCTAACATACAGAGGTAGAAAGGTATTATATATAGGCAGAGAGTGAGGTGTGAGTGGCACATGGTGACCTGAAGAATGCCATGTTGGGATGAGGACGGGTAGATGATGAGATCATGTGACTCCTGTGTTGTTGGGTTGGTGGTGCTTAGCCTGCTTAAATATCATGTATGCTAATGTTTATGAAATTTTGTAGTTTCCAGTGTTACATTGTAACGTGTCGGTGACGGCGATTAGCGAGGCTTCTAGGCACCATTGGCGTCTGAGGTCTGGTTCGGTGAGAACCAGTTCATCAAATGCCCCATGGAGTCTCTGTGGAGGACACAGGCGTACCTTAAATCGTCTCTGTTACAGGCATTTCGATGCTCGTTCAGGCGGACGGCAAG